GTACAAGTACTAAAAAGAAAAAAAATAATGAAAACTAAACTATAATTTTACAAGTTCTGTTGTAATTTTGAGAAGTTCTATTGTAAAAATTATAACAGCACTTTTAAAAATTACAACAGAACTGCTAAAAATTTTAACAGATCTGCTATAAATTACCACAGACCTGCTAAAAATTACAGCAGAACTGCTAAAAATTACAACAGCTCTTTAATAAACAACAAGTGCTGCTTTAATTTTTAATAGTTCTGTTGTAATTTATAAAAGTGCTATACTAATTTTACGAATGCTATACTAATTGCACAAGTTCTGTGCTAATTTTACAAGTGCTCTTTTAAAACTACATGTGCTCTACTAAAATTTCAAGAGCTCTACTAAAATTATTAGTTGTCTACAAAATTACAAGTTCGCTACTAAAATTACAAGTTCGCTACTAAAATTACAAGTTCTCTACTAAAATTACAAGTACTCTACTAAATTACAAGTTCTTTACTGAAATTACAAGTTCTCTACTGAATTACAAGTTCTCTCCTGAAATTACAATTTCTCTACTAAAATCACAAGTTTGCTACTAAAATTACAAGTTCTCTCCTGAAATTACAAGTTCTCTCCTGAAATTAAAGTTCTCTCCTAAAATTAAAGTGACACACTAATTTTTACTTGTTTTTATACTAATTTTTACAAGTGCTCTAACTGATTTTAGAAGTGCTCGGCTAATTTTACAAGTGCTATACTATTTTTACAGTGCTATACTAATTTTCACAAGTGCTCTACTAATTTTCACTAGTGCTCTACTCTAATTTTTACAAGTGCTGTACTAATTTTTACAAATGACATCTAATTTCACAAGTGCTCTACTATTTCATAAGTGCTTTACAACCAATTTCACAAGTGTTCTACTGATTTCATAAGTGCTATACTAATTTCAAAAGTGCTATACTAATTTCACAAGTGCTATACTAATTTCACAGTGCTATACTATATTTTTCAATTGCTCTACTACATCTCACACTTGCTCTATTAATTTCACAAGTGCTCTATTAATTTCACAAGTGCTCTACTAATTTTTTCGAGTGTTACACTAATTTTACAAGGCCATGCTAATTTTAAAGTGCTATACTAATTTTTACAGTGCTCTACTGATTTCACAAGTGCTCTACTGATTTCACAAGTGCTCTACTAATTTTACAAGTGCTCTACTATAACTTACAAGTTCTCTACTCTACTATCTTACAAGTGCTCTACTAGATCTTACAGGTGCTCTTCTATATCTTACAAGTGCTTTACTATATCTTACAAGTGCTTTACTATATCTTACAAGTGTTTACTGATTTACAACGGCTCTACTGATTTTTATAAGTGGCACACTAATTTTACAAATGCTATACTGAGTTTCACAAGTGCTATACTGATTTTACAAGTACTATACTAATATTACGAGTGCTTGCACTAATTTCCAAGTGCTATACTAATTTTGACAAGTACTATACTAATTTGGACTACATCTTACAAGTGCTCTACTATATCTTACAAGTGCTATACTAGTTTACAAGCGCTTCACTGATTTTACAAGCGCTCTACTGATTTTTATAAGTGTCATATTGATTTCACAAGTGCTTTGCTATATCTTACAAGTGCTCTACTGATTTTTATAATGTCCTACTGATTTCACATGTGCTCTACTAATTTTACAATTGCTGTACTAATTTCACAACTTTTGTACTAATGTTTATAAGTGTTCTACTAATTTGCTGGTGCAAGTACTCTTCTGATTTTACAAGTGCTCTACTGATTTTATAAGTGCTCTGTTGATTTCACAAGTGCTCTACTAAATTTTGCAATTGTCATACTAAATTTACAAGTGTTACACTGATTTTTACAAGGGCTATACTAATTTCACATTAAAATTTCTTACGTGTAATAAATATCCTGTCTGAATTGCTGTTATGATGACTATTAAAAAGAAATGCCAAAGCGACCATTTTTTTATTGCACATAAATCAGATTTGCGGAGGACTGATTTCTGGAATAGATATTTCATAACAAAAATATATTGTATTGTCAAAATTAAACAGAATAAATGTAGAAATATTAAAATGATATTATTTTTAATGGCGATTAGAACTATATATTCTGTAAGCTGTGTTGCTATTATATCTAGTATTTTTTGAGAGGGTAACCCAACGGTCAACCACTCTTTTTTGTATATATAAAATAAATTAGTTATGTATATCTATTAGTATAGGCGTAGGTGTTGCAGCAATGCCCACAAATGGCGCTTTTCACTTAATATCGTATTTGAGATCTATAACTTTAATTGAAAATTTGATATCATGCTGCTTGGTATTGAATAAACTATTTTAAACTAGCCTACGTTCTTAATCATTACACCACAGTCGCTCATATAGACATTTCATTAAAGTAAAATCACTATTTCTATTACATTACTGACTCACCAAACCGTACTCTCCAATTTCTGGCTACCAATATGCAAAATAGTAGTATAAAATTTAATGACTTGTTTTGTTCTAAATAGTGCAATCGCAACAAAAACAGCACCCGACACCAATTCACTGTATCAATGATATAAAATACAATCAGAACACGTCTTCTTATTTTTCCTTCTATAAATCCTAAAATACACATTTACCATAACTAAAATAATTCAGAAACTATATATATTGTTATAACCACTCACCAATATATTGCATATGAACATAAAAAATTGTATAAATATTATTGATAATGAAAATAGTAATGAAAATAACAAGGTTTAAAATTTCGAAGGGCATTGCATTCTGATGCAAGAAAAACCTAAAAGTCTTCCTAGCCAAATCACTCCTTTCATATGCAACAAAGTTTATCGCAAGCCATTTTTTAAAAAATATATATTTAATAGGCTATATTAAATAATATTCTGATAGAATATTATTTTTAAATTCACGTAATTAAATGAATGAATTAATTGAATTAAATCATAAAATTAAATGATTTAGTACTATATAGTTTATCTTAATTTTTTTAATATTTGTGATACTAGTTCACTATATCAAGTTTAAAAAGGTACTCTATACGTATTTAATCCTTTTTGCTACGTTTTATATAAAATGTGAATATATAATATATATGAAGTACAGTTAATCACTGTATATTGAAGGTCGGCGTTTTCCAAGAGGATACATTTTTATATTTTATATTTTATATAAAATTTATATTTTTTGCACTTTTATTAAATAATATTTGTTACAAACGTTACGTTATTAGGTTTGTCTCATCTTTAGTATATATATTATGTACTATGAATTATTGAATTAACTAGTGGTGTATGGCATCGTGCCTTAAGGCTATTTGCTGGAACTTTCCGTACCGTAACGAAGTGTTCGAGGAATATTGAATGTTTACAAATAGATTATTATAAATATTGTAACTTCGTTCATTATTCGTATTTTATAGACAAAATATAAGAGCTCATGAATTGGACGACGAAGTTTATATATGCTTACAAAACTTGATCAATCAAGGACATTGTCTATATTTAAAGATTATATAAATTGAATTGCAATTTTTTGTTATTTGAAGTATATATGTGAAATTTAGAACTTCAGCTAAAATTAGAATTAAGATCTTAATTATTTTCGATTTTTTGGAAATTAAAAAAAAATCGTCAACACAAGCAGGAAGTTTTTTAAACCATTCAAATCGGATGCTTAGTTCTCTCAAAAAATGGCCATTTTTTGCACATTTAGCTTTGTAACTCCAATTTGAAAAATTATAAAAAACATTAAATTCCTAATGATGGAGGAACATGCTAATTAGTTTTTGGCAAAGACAGGTCCAACTGTTTGGGAGATACATGAAAAACAGTGTGATAAAAGTAGCAGTTTTGAAAAGAATCGAGCATTCCATGAGAAAGATTCAGAAAACACTCGATTCGTATTGATAGGGAGACGTGCTGAAGAGTTTTTTACGAGGGCAGGTCCTGCCGCTTAGGAGATACGGAGCAAATATGCAAAAAAGCTGTTATTGCAAGAATGGATCATTTGATTGAAATGATTTGAAAAATATTTTGCTTGTATTGACTTTGTAGAGAAATGATTCTTCATTGGGAAGTTAAAAGTTTTTATTATTTCGAAAATTAAAAAAAAAAATCAAAAAAAAAATGTTTGATATCGGAAATGATTCGGATTTTAATTTTAACATTAACAAAAATTCTAAAGCTCACCAATATACTTGAAATACATAATTTTAACCTGGTTAAGCAGTTTATATAATTTTTAGAAATATGAGATAAAATCCTTCATTCAAACTTCGCTTTTTTTGTTTACTTACTTCTCATGTAAATATATATAAACGTCTTCGTCCAATTCATAAGCTCTTATATTTTATCTATAAAATACAAATAATAAAAGTTAGAGTATTTACAATAATCTATTTGAATATAGTTAAAATTTCTCGAATATTTTATCACGGTGCGGGAAGTTCCAGCAATTTGCCTTAAGGTACGACGCCATACACCACTAGTTGAATTTTGAATTTAAAAAATATTTAATATACTAGCAATACTTTTTCTCATATTTTTTTGCATGAAAATGTTCCTTCAATGCTCAAAGTTATTAACTTTTTTAATAATCACTTATGCCGTGTTCATCTAAAATTGCACTTTGCTAATTGTATTTTATCACGTTATAGGGTTTTGTTATATTTATATATATATATATATTATATATATATATCAATTACAATTACAGTATTTTTATAAGTTCCTAATATGAATAATAAATAAACCACTAAATACCTTGCATTCAAATGAAACTACAATTAACAAACATACGTTAATTTATTGACACTTTTCAATAAATACATAAAAACAAATGAGCATCAAAACTGTTTATTATTACTTTTTTACAAGTCCAAACAATTAAAAAAACAATTTGTATTATTATAAACGGTACTGAATATCCAAATGAGATGCAAAACTCTTTGCAATAATATTTACTTCAAAACTACCAGTTATAAACTTTCTGTTTTCGGTCCAATAAATTCATTCCAAAGCCTTTTCTTTCAGCAGATGTTTCTTTGTTATCTTCCTCCACATAATTCAAATTTTTATGACAGACGAAAAGTAAAGATATAATAATGCCCTGGGATGCATTAAAAATATCAAAACCTGTCAACAATTCTGTTGGGATATATTCAGGGAATGCCCAAGTCAAAATTTCTGTAAGCCAACTCAGGCCCATCATCAGAAATAGTACGAAGGATTTGCGAAACCTGTAATAAGAAATAATTTTCAAAAAAATGAAACAGTATTGGTGAAATACTATTAGTCATAGAAAAATACTTAGAGGAGTTAATTTTTAAACCAAAAGATAAAACAAAAGTAATTTTAGCTTACAAGGTTTTAAATTGAGGTCCGCTCTGTCTCAAGAATTTAAAAGTCCACGTAATCGTTGCCAAATTTACCATCAATGATACACCCACTGGTAAATAGTAATTGTAAAATGGTGAAGAATTTTCTGAAAAAATGTGCATGATATATCTATATATAAATTAAGACTTCTTTATTACTTGATTTTATGATAGAGAGGAAATTATTAAAATTATTTACTAGAGAGGAAATTAATAAAATAAAATTTGGACCATACATCAACCTGCAGTAGTCCAAAAATGTTTAAAAAATTCAAGTATATTTATCACTTTCTCGTCATGGAGATGTGTAAAAATTTGGTGTATTATCAAGAATATTCGCGACAGTGGCTTTTTGCTATATAAATTGTTTTTTTAAATATTAGGTTCTAACTAAGTTAAATAGTTAATTATCTCTTACTTTCGAAGGTGCATGAGGTGTGTCCTAGGGTCGATCTATAATAGGTAGATGGTATAATTGGTGGAAATTTACAAATAGATGTAACACATCCTATGAAAAATGTAGAACCCCAAACTCCGAAATTATAATATCTTAATCTTCGTTGGTCGTCCTCCTTGCTTTTTTCATTATTTTCTGTAGTAATACTAAAAAAATCGTTTGAAATGTAAAATTAATTCAACAATATAGTATAGTACATAAATTGGTGATTTTACCTTTTATAAGTTTCTATGCACATCACAGTCAACCAGAAAAAATAGGCGAGAAATGATAGTTCTATCACATACCCTAATGAAAATTAACTTTATATTAAATATAATAAATATCAATATGAACATAACTTATTAAAATGCAAAATATTTTTTTAACATCCCGAAGGAGAAGTTTATGTTTTCATCAAAAAATCCGATTCGCTAATTTTATGTTTTCTCGACGTTTCAAGCCATTCTGAATGGAACGAGACCAAATTTGGAAAAAGTATGTGTGTGTGTGAACAGATTTTTTGCCGTAAATCGGCGTTTTCTCAAAAACAGCTGGACCAATTTCAAAAATTTAAAAGCCATTCGATGAATTTTGAAGAGGGCTATCGTTTGTCAGTTTTGTGCGACGATCGGCCAAGCAGTTTCTTTATAAATAGCAGAAAAGTGAAAAAATGTTTGTCCACGTTTTAGCCCCCAATTCTGAATCAATTTAAAAAAATTAAAAACTGTTCGAAAGATATTAGTTGGAAATGATACTGATTTGTTTTAGGTAAAAATCTACCAAGCCGTTTTCTTGTAATTAACCGTTAAAAAAAAAATTAAGCCGATTTTTGTGGAACCTTTTTTGGCGATATATATCATGGTCTTCTAGAACTTACTGAAATATTACGACCTCACGACAAGTAGTTTAATTTTGAAAATTCATCAAAGTTTGAGAAAATGAGTAGATTTTTTGACGTTCGTTAAAATTAAAATTAGACGATTTACTTGGTATAACGATATAGGACTTGGTTACCAACTAGCTTTTATAATATACTTGACAAAGTCTGTAATATAAAATCTCTATAATAGGGTCAGTATATTTTTACTGATATATACCAATAAAAATGGTAATAATTACTGTTATCATAGGATTATCTAGTGGTGCATAGCATAGTGCCTTAAGGCAAATAGCACATCCATTTTTTGTAAGGTGTGCCAAAATGTTCAGAAACCTTTGAAACGTAAAGATATATGAAAATAAATATTTTTGATTTTTTTGCGATGACTATAACTTACTGTTATTTGATCTCTTGTAGGCCAGGCTGCATAAATAAAGTTTAGTAAAAAAAATTGCTCGCGAAATAGAATATTGAACGATAAACAAAATCACAAAAAGCAAATTCTTTAACTGAAGTAGCATAGAATTTTTTGCCATACACGTTTCAAATATTGATTAGAAATATATTCATAATTTACAGTATTCAAAGAGTTAAATAGCTTATAAATCCTCGTTTTAATAAGTTTGTGTCTGGTGTTAAAGTTGAAGGCATTATAAAGCATATAGCACGTTTTTAGTATTAATATTTGACTTTTACCAGCTAATATGCACATCCAATCTGGTATTTCTCGTCCTCCAGCCAATTGAACGGCTGCTAATACTGAAAAAGCGACTATTAAACAGGACACATGATATCGCAAAGCCAAACCGTGGACTGTTCTGAGATTTTTAACAAATGTATAAACTACAAGTGTCACGATTAGGAAAACCACTGAAATCAGTTCAACTGAAAATAGAAATGAAAATTTAATATACGCCTTTACAGGAAAACAGTATTACTAGCAACGGTAATAAGAATTAAATTTCTTAGACAGTATTCTTATCGTTATCGAATGCTGTCATATGTTACAGTTATTGATTAGAAATTTTACCTGCTGCATATATGTACAAAATTCTTTGGGTGTCAAAACATACTAACACTCTTAAAGTATCATTATCAGTTTCCATACAGTACTGTTTTGAATCGTACAGATCGTATCTGCCAGCATTGTTTTTAATATAGAGATTTCCATCTAGAGAAACGACGAATACATCCTTTGATTCTAACATGTACCTAAATTTAACAAATATTGAACATAAAAAAGGCTTTATAATTTTATAACCTAATACTTCTTACCCGCCATCCATGCAAGGATCTCCATAAATAATGTTTTTCGGTTCAAATACATCATCAGTTTCTAACAAAACATTATTGCACATAATTGAAGTTTTCATTTTAAATTTCTTCATGCTGTTTTGAGAATCCTGACAAGAATAATTTAAATAAATTTGGCTCCGAGGACAGCATTTCGGGAAGAAACTCTTGTAATCTTTTGGAATGTCGACTCCAATTTTGTTATTGGATGTTTTCTATGGAGGATATAATTATATTCATAAAGCCATTATATTAAAATTGTTTTCAAGTGATCTCTATTATATATTGAAAAGCAATTTATTAGTCTATTGATTAATAATTAAGTAGTGACTTGTGATTATAATTCCAAAAATTATAGGAACATAATTTTTTAAAAAATTTTTATAGAACAACACATACATGATTTGAGGTCTCATTTAAAATTCACAAAATTATTACAGTTTAACTAAATTAGTTTTATTTAACGAAGCTTAATTTGTTTTGCTAAACTTCATAACAAAAATATTTAACATTGAAATATTGAAGCAACAGTTTTAATTTATAAATTGTAAGTTTTTAATATTTATTATGTTACTATAATAAATTTAAATTATATATAAATATGTATATATAATAATCTGCATTTTTTTTCCTTTTCAGGTGAGATATTGCACCTGCTCTTCTATTACCTGTGATTTTTGTTATTCATTTGGTAAGATTTATTTTATGTATTAAATATATATATATATACATATATATATATATAAATATATATATATATAAATATATATATAGATATATATATATATATATATATTCATAATGTGTGTTTCATTTATTTTTAATTTCTATATCTTCAATATTACTTACATCATGGTCGATCTTCTTACAAACAATCTTATCCTCATAAAATGTAATATTCCAATTTCTCCAATCTACTTTACTACCCCTGGCTAAAACCACTACTATTGTCAAGATTATTAACAAAGTCTTCAAAAAATGCATTTTTAAACTGCGCTATTTAATTTATCACTTGGAACACTAATTATAATATTAGTAATTATTTTTTTAATTCTGTCCTATTTCTTTAGCTATCAGTAATACATAAATACTCCTATTAGCTAAATTGACAATATTTGAGAGCGATATAATGATTAATGAGTATTCACATATTGTTAAATAATTTTTTACAACATTAATTTGGGTTTTTAGATAAAATTTATTTTCAAAATTATCACTTATCAACGATGCAGTTCGATAATAATTACTTATTTATTTAGCCAATATAAATGCCTGTTTATGAATGAATCATTGATAAAGCATTTTATCCAATCTTTGTTTTGATAAGTAAAATTATTATGAAAAACACGTAATAATTTCTATTAATATCGCTAAAAATAGGAGATGAATTAAATATTTATAATTTGTCAAAAAAATTAAATATTTTTTTAATACGAATGAATAAATTTTAGAATAAGCGAAATTGTTAATATAAATGAAAAAACCATTATTTTTTAATTTGTTTTTGGCACTCTAAAAATTATTGACAATCCGGAAATTTTGTTTACTGAACAGTAAATAATAAGTTTATTGAAACTATTAATAAATTAATTTTTAAGAAAGATGCTCTGTTATTAGTCACCTATATTGCAATCACTGTCAATTTATTGATATTGCTTATGAACATAAATATCTGATAAAAGTTATCATTTGATTTGCGAATCTAAATAATTGATAAGTTATATATATATATATATATCTTATATATAAAATTCTTCTGTAACAATGTAAGTTTCATTAATCCTCCTAAACTATAATTCGGATTTTCATAAATCTTTCTGAAGTTTGTTCGGGAAATTTTCTATAATGTCTGGATTCATAGAAATATCGCTAGATTGTTGAAATAAATGGAAAAAATTACAAAAAACCGCTTATCATTGTTTGACCTTTAAAATATTTAAGACATGGTTTGACATTAAAAACAAATGACAACTGTCATTTGCCAAACATTTCTATTCAGTTATAGGCTAAGGCAATAATGAAATATGATAAATTCATGATTATAAATAAGGAAAATATAATGTATACATTATTATTGCCGAAAAGCAGCTGAGATGTGCCAAAAATTAAATTAATATAAGATGCAAATAATATAACATGCGTCTGGCAGTCTGCGCATGCGTCTGACGCGCACGGCGAATCATTTTGCGCACTTTGCGAAAAGATTCGCCGTACGAATTCGTGCAAACAAGACGAGCCATAAGTGATTGCGCTCAAAAATATTCAATTTGCAGTCGTTTTGCCTTACTATACTAAATCACCACCATGTCACAATACAAAAAATAATTACTTATTCAAAAAATTATTTAGAAGTTTCGTTGTGTCAAAAATTCATATGGCTGACATTTTGTACGGAATATTTACTCAATGGAGCGCTTTGGGTCTCAACTTTTTTTTTACTGTTTTCCAATTCGTTTGGAATTGGGTTCATCTTACTCTCAAGTTCAAAGGGGAAAAACAATTTAGACTCCTTTGCACTACCCGAGGGGATGCCATTTCTTTTCAGTGGTGTAATAACGTTGGGTGTGGATAAAAGAACTAATTATAAGAGAAAAATGTTTAATAATGTTTTTTAAAAAGCAAATACTTTTCAAGTTACTGGCTACTGAAAATTTGTTTCTTTTTTGCCTTTTTTTATTGTTTTTTGCTAATATCTTCAAAAATATACATTTTACCGAAAATCATGTAATGAACAAAATTATATCAATAAAAATCCTAATAAATCGCTATTTTAATTTTTTTTAATTTTTAAAGTGTTCTAGGAACAATATTAAGTAAATTATGAAAATGGGTTTTTATAGTTCTCATAATAAACTTCAAAAGAAGTACTTCTGCGTGTAAATTGAGTGAGCTATCATGCAATTAAAAGACACATACAATGTTTTTTTTTTCGTTTAAATCAAATAGTTTATGAGTGCCATTACCACCAAAATTAAAAATAATCGTTTTCCATCTAGAATTAACTTGGTTCAAGAGAGATCTTGATGGATTCTAGAAAATACCATAACATTAGTACAGACGATTTTCAAAAAACTCATGATTTCATAAAAAAATCCATTTAATAAAACAACCAATTTCTCACTATAATATCTCTGAAAGAATACGTATAAAAGTATATATATGAAAATTCAAGGTATTTTTCAGACTAATTATTGGTTTTTATTATTTTTTTGTTACACAGATATTGATAGAATTCTAATTGTTTAAAGAGTGCGCGGCTGTCCAACCGGAGTGTCTTTCAAGCCCTTTAACCCTTCGCCGTTTCAAAATTAGAGAAGTTACGGTAAAATTTATGATAAAGAAAGTTGTAGCTCATTTAATCACCTTTAAAATAGTATATTACAAGTTATGATAAAATCAAAATTAAAAGAGTCATAATCCAATTAATGCGGGGGTTGGTGACGAATTTGAAAATTGTTTTCACTTCTGAACTTTAGATTAAGATTATCTGGGCATACGCTTTTTTTCTCTTCATTTACTGCAATAATTTTGTTGATAGTAGGTTGAATAGAGCACATGTGAACAAATTTGACAAATTAATTCACTTCAAATATGAACGTAAGTAATAATGTATATTGAATTATTAGTGTGAAAAATGCAATTTAGATATTAAAATACTAAAAGCCAGTTAAAATATGGTACGAAATTATAAAAATTGCAGGCAACATTATTGAAGCAATTATTTTGGGTAGAAAAATCCAAGGTGATATTGTACCTTGACCGCGCATGCTATATATGAAAAATATATTTTAATATTTGTTAAAGGGATAATTAAAGTGTTAACTGTGGGAATTGAGAATAATCATTTTATTTGAAACAGTACTACATTTAACATCACTCATATATTGGTGTAAATAGTAACTCGAAAAATAATAATGATTATTTTTAACTGAACGGTATAAATATTAGTATAGGATATTAAAAAAACGTAGAGGTGAGTACAGGTCAACGTCTGTCGGGTCATCTAGTATATATATATATATATATATATATATATAGTAATGATAAAATTTTGATTAATATTTTTTATTTTCAAGTATCATACAATATTGTATCCTGTATTAATTTGTTTAACACCAGATCCAACTAACACCAGATCGCTTCTGCTACTGACTTTTTCTGAATAAAATTCTGTCACACACAATTAAGTTCATAAACTATACTATTAATATTTAATAAAAATAAACTTCAATGGTCTTACATATATATTGTGTATACTACACTTTCCACCAATAACTTTCCATCAATTGACAATTGGCAACATAAAAATACATAATAATAATGAAAAAAAATAATGAAAATGAAAATTTTTGCATATTTTTAAGTTGTGAGACCTTCTGTACATTTTGGAAGACCTTAGGAAAAATGTATGAGTGTGTGTGTGTGTGTTTGCAGTATATAATTTGTATGGACACAATTTTTTTAACCACGATTTTGGGAGAACTCAATAAAGGGATTGATGACATTTTTGTTAAGGCAGGCCCAGCAGTTTCGGAATTGCAGGAAAAAGGTTAAAAAATTGACATTTGCTGATCTGAAATATTCATAAACAATGATACCCAAATGACGGTTGAGCAGGTAGACAGGTAAACTGGTAGACAGGTAGATAAGTCGGAAAACAGACAGGTAGATAAGTAGAAAAAATGACAAGTTGACAGGTTGACAGATAGTTAGATGGAAAGGTAGAAAAGTTGAAAGATAAAAATGTAGTAAACTAGACAGGTTGGCCAATAGACAGTTAGACAGGTAAATAGGACAGGTAAACTGGTAGACAGGTAGATAAGTCGGAAAACAGACAGGTAGATAAGTAGAAAAAATGACAAGTTGACAGGTCGACGGATAGATAGGTAGAAAAGTAGAAAGATAGAAAAGTAGAAAGATAGAAAAGTAGAAGAGTAGACAGGTCAAATAATAGACAGTTAGACTGGTAAATAGATAGACAAGTTAAGAGGTTGACAGACAGGTAGAAAAATAAAAAGATAGATAAGTAGAACAGTCGATAGGTTGGCTAATTGACAGCTAGACAGGTAAATAGGTAGACAAGTTGACAGATACAAAAATAAAAAGATACAATAATAGAAGAATAGATTAGTCGTAAAAATAGATAGATTGATCGACTAATAGTCAGTTAGACAGATAGATAGGTAGAAAAGTAGAAGAGTAGACAGGTTGACTAATAGGAAGTTAGACATGTAAATTGGTAGATATATTGACAGGTAAACTGGTGGACGGGTATACAGGTAGATCACATAAAAATCAAATATTTATTGATTAAATCGATTTTTTGCATATCGAGCAAAATTTGCCTCAAAGCAAAATGCCACTTACACGTAGTTATTTTCCTGGTTTTCGAGTTTCTATTATGACTTGCAATACCACAAGTAGGTTATTTAAAGTTTTAGTATGATGTATTATATCCTCAAATTTTACATAAATTTGTCAAATATTTTTTTTATTATTATTTTATAAATGTTTGTTTTTCAATTTGATGCTTATGATGATTTTATAAAAATCTATATAAAAGTTTTATGGATATAAAAACATTTCATTTTATTCCGAATTTTGTTTCTTATAGAACAACGTGTTTAATTTTGTGGATTTTTTTTCCTGGTGTAAATTTGATAATTTGTGAAATGATAATACACAGCATAAATAGTTAACTTATTTATTATTTTCTACATAATAACATTTTGCTATTTGGCTACAAATAAACATTCAAAAATTTATTGTTTCTAAACATATAACAAATTGCTTATAAAATATACATGAAGATAACAAATGAGTATCAAAAATAAATAAATATGTATTAATTTAGCATGGTTGCATGTTACTTATTTTGTATAGAATTAAAATGAAAGTATTGGTGTCATAATTCCATTTTTTGTATTATTGTAAAAATTTCTGAATTTCACAAATAAATTCAAAATTAGTTCTTTCTTCTTCTATTTTCGGCCCAGCAATTTCATTTCAGTCCCTTTTGGTTCAGCAGATCTTTGTCTTCGGAAAGTGTCTCTCCTCGTCACGATTTCTTTTTTTACATAATTCAAATTTTTGTGACAGACGAAAAGTAAAAATATAATGATCCCTTGAGATGCATTGAAAATATCAAAACCTGTCAACAATTCTGTTGGAATATATTCGGGGAATGCCCAAGTCAGAATTTCTGAAAACCAATTCAGACCCATCATCAGAAATAGCAGGAAGGATTTGCGAAACCTGTGATAAGAAATAATAATTGAGTAGAGAAAAAAATATTTTTGATATGAGTGACTTTTCATAATACTAAACAAAAATAAGTACAATTGTTACTTTAAAATAAATACATAGTTAAATACAGACATCAATTTTCTGGACGAATGTTACAGTTTATTATTTTTATAAAATTTATTATTATATATAATAAAATATAAATCAAATTTAACTTTTAACTTACAAGGTTTTAAACTGAGGTTGTGTTTGTCTCTGGATTTTAAACGTCCACAAAAACGTTACAAAATTCACAATCAATGACACACCCATTGGTAGATAGAAGTAGTAAAAGGATGATGAATTTTCTGAAAAAAAAACAAACATAATTAGCATCATTTAAATAACGTCAACCAACAAAATTTTACTTCTTTATGACGAGTATATACGTCAATTACGGGTAACTTTTTAAATTGATTTCCAAGCATAAGAAAAAAAATCATAGAAAACATCAATAGTGGAAAGCTGGATATACAGAAATTTGCATTATATAAAGTCAGAAGTGGACAAATTTTTATTTTAAAAAATGTTGCAATTTACTTACATGTGCTCAATTTAATAATTTTTACACCTTCGGTTTCTTTGAATAATTTGTCGAATTGATATATAAAAAATATTTTTATAATTTCTTTACTAATAGTTAATTATCTCTTACTTTCAAACCAGCACGAGGTCCTTCCTATAGTTGGCCTATAATAGGTAGATGGTATTATTGGTGCAAATTGGCAAATAGATGTTACACATCCTATGACGAGTGTCAGACCCCAAACTCCACAATGATAATACCTTAATCTTCTTTTGTCGTTAATTTTTCCATTAATCTCTCTATTTCCATTAATTTGCGTATTAATATTTGCTGTAATACTGAAACAACAGTCCGAAACATAAAACTAATTCGAAAATAACAAAATAGGATAAGTAGATAGATTAGTTTTTTACCTTTTATAAGTTTCTATGCACATCACTGTCAACCAGAAAAAATAGGCGAGGAATGAAATTTCTATCACGTAACCTAAATAAAAATTATATTAGTTTTATAATAAATATTATTATTACTGCATAAAAATTATTGCAATTCACAATTTTTTTTCATGAAGAGCTAATAAATAAAAAAATATTATAATAATATACACTACGTTTTTAGCAGACTTTCGAGTGATCTGAAATTTTCAACGCTGTGTTTGCCTTCAAGTATTTTTTTAATTATTCTAAAAAGACATATAAGATAAATAGAATATATCAACATATTATTACTTTAATTCTATTCAAACGATATTGTTAAAAATTATTTCTGACCAAGGATAATAGTTATTGTTTTTTTTTTTGAGTAGTTATTGCTGATAGCAAAATAGCTTATAAAATTTTATGTAATTTTGATTTCTGTTTTTTAATCAATAAAAAAAAATTATTGCTGATTTGGGCTAGTTGTTGATTTAAGCTAGTCATTGCTGATTTAGGTTATTTGTTGCTTGTTTAAATTAATTATTATTTATTATTTTATTAAATTAATTATTAATAATTTAGTATAACGTGAACTCAGTATTGTTACTATAAAATAAAAGTTAATAATAATAATTTATTAAGAAAGACTAGAAACAAAATAAATTAAACCTATAAAGGCCATAAAATAGATAAAAATCAAATATATTTTTGAAAAACATTAAACATAATTAATCTAAAACTTTCAATTGAAAATAATAAAGATATAATTAAAATAATTAATTTAACTTCATAAGAAATAGTTTGAGCTACAGAACGTAAACCTCCAATTAATGAATAATTTGAATAATAAACTCTTATAGATAAACAACAAATAAAAAATAAAACTCCTAAATTAAATCTAAACCCCCATATAAATTTAATATTAATAATCAAACTTTTGAAGAAATTATTAATCTTAAAATCGGACATAAATAATAAATAAAATAATTCAATAAATTTAAAACAATTTGTTCTTTCTTAATTTGTTAATAATTTCTAATTTAAATGTACTGATTGATAAAAACACTGTTGCAAATGAATAGCCGTTCTTCATTCCAGAATTATAAAAATATTTACACTCTAATATGTGAAAATTATATATAAGGAACAGATAATTGCTTTAATTTAATCCTGGTCAATTGTTTTTTTTTTTCTTGAACTAAAATGAATAATGCATAAAAAAATATCAATGAAATCGAACAGAAAATAATATCAGTTGGACAGGAAATAATTTCAATCAATAACTAATCACTCTAAATTTTCTGTTAATTTTTTTGTACAAATTATTTGAGAAAACAGTTTTATAAAATCTCAAAATCGGGTAAAACCGTTTTCTGGGGAAAATACCACTTGGACACCGGTTTTCTAATATATCGGTTTTTGTATAAAGGTTGGTGTTTAAAATATTCTACTAATCGTAAATTAATTGAATTAAGTAAAAATTAAAAATTACACTTCTAAGTAAAAAATTACCATATTGTAGTAATTCAACTATAAGTGATCAATCAAGAAGCGAAAATTCGCACGCTGGGTGTCGTTTATGGACGACACTCGTATACTATGTCGGACGTCGGAGAGCGTATGTCGCCTATAGGTGACGCTTATATGGAAAGGATTAAAGTTTACTTTTTACCTGCTGTAATGCACATCCAATCCGGTATTTCTCGTCCTCCAGCCAATTGAACGGCTGCCAATACTGAAAAAGCGACTATTAAACAGGACACATGACATCGCAAAGCCAAACCGTGGACTGTTCTTAGTTTTTTAACAAATGTATAAACTACAAATGTCACGATGAGAAAAGCCACTGAAATCAGTTCAACTGAAAATAGGAATAAAAACTTATTAAACACCTTTACAGAAAAAAAGTATTACTAGCAACAATAATAAGAATTAAATTTCTTAGGCAGTATTCTTATCGTTATCGGATGTTGTCAAATGTTAGTTATTTATTAGAAAATTTACCGGCTGCATATATGTACAAAAGTTTTTCGGTACCAAAGCACACTAAGACTTCTAAAGTATCATCAACAGTTTCCATACAGTACTGTTTTGAATTATACACATCGTATCTGCCAGCATTGTTTTTTATATACAAATTTCCGTCTAGAGAAATGGCGAATACATCCTCAGGTTCTAGCATGTATCTAAAATTAACAAATATGGAACATAAATCAGGCTTTATAATTTAAAAACCAAATACTTCTTACTTCTCTTCCGAGCAAGGATCTCCATAAACAATGTTTTGCGGTTCAAATGTGTCATCAACTCCTAACAAAACATTATTGCACATAATTGAAACGTTAAATTTAAATTTTTCCATGCTTGTTTTGGAATCCTGGCAAGTATTATTTAAATAAATTTGGCCACGAGGGCAACATTTTGGGAAGAAACTCGTGTAATCTTCAGGAATGTCGATGCCAAATCCAATACTAGATACTTTCTATAGAGAAAATGAAATCAATTATAAAACAAACAATCCTCCCTTTAAATTGGTTCTTAAATTGATTTAACGTTGGTTCTTAAATAATTCTTAAATTCTAACTTTATGTTATCAGTAGAGAAATTCGAATAATTCAAAATTGTTCCTTTTTTTCATAGAACAACTCATACTTCGTCCTAAATCCAAAAACCTTATATTATAGAAAATTATAGAGGTAATTTTCATCATGTTTGAGAATTTAAAGTTTTTTGAAGGTATTGTCTATAGTTATAATAATTTTTTTAATGTAATATTTACAGTATATAATATATATTGTAATTTTATTGCAATGAAATATATGACAATGAGTACGAATACTTACGAAAATTTAATGAACTTAAAAAACTTATTACTATTGAAATGTTCATATATGATTTTCGATATGTTATCAAAAAAATCTAAATACGCTATATATTTTTATTAAATTAAATCATTAATGATATTACGTTATGCAAATCAATAATTTTATTAATAATATTATAATAAAATATTTTTACTCACAGTTACATCATATTCCAAATTCTCACAATCGATTTGTTTCAAAACATCATCTTCATAAAATGTTATATTCCATTTACTCAAATCTTCACTACTATAACTTTGTACAAACACCAATATTGTCAAAAATATTAAAAAAGTCTTTGGAAATTGCATTTTCAAGGTACCTTATTTCTTAATTTATCACTTGAAATATTTGTCACATTTTTACGTAGACATATTTACTTCTGGTGTTATATTTTACCACCTGAAAAATTAAATATATATGTATATATATATATATATATATATATATATATATATATATATGAGTATATATACATAACCTATTAAATATATTTTCTAAATCTTATCTTTACCAAGAAAGTGAGTCTAAAGCCGGCCACAGACGTAACTGTATGCATGTGCAACTGAATGAATGCGCAACCAGGCGTATTTTCACAGCGCCCACAGACGGTTCAAGTTTATGTTCAAGTACTTGCGCAAGCATATCACAAATGTCAAATAATAAATGTCAAAACATAACCTAAAAATATATCTTTTTTATTAATTTATATATTTACAGCATCAGAAGAGAATTCAAAGTGTTCATAGGGCTAATTTCATAACTTTTAATTGTCGATAACTTCATAAACTTGTATTATAAATTCGCTACAATGTAAAATAAAAATATGGACATGTGCTGCCACACGCGGCCAACGAATGAACTTGCCGACTTGAACGATTGCGCAATTAAAATAATCAAAAAGTGCTCATGCCAACTCGCTTGCACCAGTCTGTCAAGTTGCCATAATAACCAAACTTTATCATTTTTGATCCTGAGAAAAATGATACATTACAAAAATGCATATATCTTAACTTATTTTGTACAAAAATAGAAAATACATATATAACACTATAATTAATAAATTCTATTAAAAACCCATAATAAATGTTAATTAAATATTAGTAGCTAATTAGAAGACGCGTCTAAAATTTAATATTTGGAACACGTTTTTTAATCCAATTATACGATTATCAATATAATTTGTTGAATTATTTTTATATAGATGGTTTAAATTATTTGTAGACGATAGCAATGTACATATGAAAAATTTATAAAAAAAAATTGTTTGAACAAAATACTTCCTAAATCTGACCAAAATCCATCCATAATAAATAAATATTAAGAAATAAAACTAAATAAATATTGAAATAAAACTAAATAAATCATGTTTCTAATTATAATTTGAGTCGATTTCCGTACGTTTCGAATTCCAATTTGATTCTTCTTCTTTTGTATAACTACAAAAAATGGTGTTCATTTTAAGAATTATAAAGTTTTTGTAGAAATTTTTAGAAGCAGATTTCAAAATTTTTAGAATTAAAATTTTGGACAGTATTTTCAGAAATAAATTACAAAATTTTTGGGAATCTCTTATGTAGTTGATATAAGTCTGCATATTTACTCACAAATCTATTAGGTGTACAACTTTGCTTCCGCCGTTTCCGATATGTGGCTGTACCGGCTGAGGCTGGTTGAACTACATAGATGATAATGCCTTTAAAGTGAGTGTGGACAATGTCTAACGAATTGTCATCTCCGTTTCAGTGACAGTTGTTCTTGTTTTCGTATTATTCACGCTCGAAAATGTCCGTTTTTGCCCCAATTCTCGCCGTTTGCGGGAAGTTTTACTTTTCTGTTACAATTCGAAAAAAAATGCAGCTAAGCGCATCGAATGCTCTCAGAAACTTACTGTGATGCTGCTCTGAGTAAAAGAACGTGTCGGGATTGGTTTCAACGTTTTAAAAATGGTGATTTCGATGCCGAAGACAAACATGGTGGTGGAACCGAAAAAACCTAAAAAGATGAACAATTAGCTCTTAAAACCGGGTGAAACCATCACAGGAGATCGCTATCGAACGCAACTGATGCGCCTTAGTCGCGAGCTAAAAGAAAAGCGACCACAGTATCAAGAGCGACATGACCAAGTCATCCTCCAACACGACAATGCTCGGTCTCACGTCGCAAAAGTGGTCAAAAAGTACCTGGAAACGCTGAAATGGGAAGTTTTGCCCTACCCGCTGTATTCCCCAGATGTCGCCCCTTCTGACTTCCACCTATTCCGTTCGATGGCACACGGCCTGGCAGATCAACATCTTCAATCTTTCGAAGAATAGGAAAAATGGATTGCTTCATGGATAGCGCCAAAAGAGGACTTCTTTTTTCGAGCCGGGATCCGAAAATTGCCGGAAAGATAGGAGAAAGTTGTCGCTAGCGACGGACAATACTTTGAATAATACATCTGTAAGCACTTTTTCGCAATAAAGCTTTTAATTTTGAAAAAAACGGCGGATGCAAAGTTGTACACCTAATATAACTCGATGTGATTTTAAATATACATTTTAATGAATGTACAATTTTTAATTAGTGTCTAATTTAGAAACAAATTTTGTTTTAAGTTCTTTAAGAAAGGAACATCTCATAATCAATCTTAGAACGATATCATATGAAAAATACATAAATAACTTTTTGGAGAAAAATTAAGCTTTTTTGTAAACCAACAATTTTTTTTTCCTTTTGGTTCAATAATTTCCAAAAAAAATGAAAAGTTTTTCAGATGTTTAATATTGACGTTTTGAACATTTCGAAATCATCAACTGTTATCTATCAAAAAGCAAATTTAACATATTATATAAAACAATATTTATAGAAAATTTATTGAAAAAAAATTAAAAAGCTTAAAGGAATAGAATATGCGCCAAATTGTTTGAAATTGAAAAACTCATTAATCTATTTCATTAATCTTTGTCAACAAATTTAGTTTTTCAACTTTCTCATCTAATTTTCCATCCATATCGTTCTAAATAAAAAATTTGTCTGACAGAAGAACTCATGATGGATCGTATCTAGTTTCGAAACGTCGATATTATACATCTAAAAAAACTTACTATTTTTAATTTTTGGTGATTTATTGTTATATAATATTCTTTATTTTATTACTCCCCATAGAGTTATTGTAATCGTCCAAAAACCGAAATTGAAAATTTTTGCATATCTTTACGTTTTGAAGGTTTCTTAACATTTTGGCATACCTTAGAAAAAATCTAAAAAACGTACCAGCGTTACTTACTAGTGTTTGACGAATATACTCGTCATGGACATTGATTGAGACAACAAAAAGATTTAAGACACAGTTAACTGGTTATAATTGATCACTATTTATTATACAAATTTCTTTAAATATTTAAATATTTCATAAACACAAATAAATTACATTCAAGTGCGATATCGTTAATTTAGACGGCAAAATCGGCTCACTTTAAATCTGCTTGTGCAACTCTATAAATTACTGATGGTTGGAAAATTTCGAGTAACTAATTAAATAAATAGTAAATAATTAATAATATTTAAAGCAATAACAAATTAATTTTTTCACAAATATATAACTCCACTATTATTTAACACCTGTATTGCAATAACCCACTATCAATTCTATTTGAGCACGTATAGGTACACCGGTTTCCTCCGAACATCGATAACTGATAAAACTTATCATTTTGATTTGAAAATCGAGATAAACAAGCCAATAGTGTTTTTCGTACACATTCCATGGCTTTGCTTTGACATGTTATATGAAAATTCGCAGTTCTGATTACTATGAAGTCACACTTTTATTATGAAATACCGTAGGCGCGGGTATTGAAAGAGAAATGTTTTTTAGATAGAACGTTATCTCATTCTATGTCGATGAAATTCGAATAGATCCGGTTTGAAAAAAACTAAACGTCATGGTAATGGAGAGGAATAATCACTTGTAAAAAATGTGATGGACATGTTGGTAAAATATCCGTTCATCCGAGCGCTACCTGGTCCATCAACCTATAATTGACGTGTGTTCCAGGTTTGAATCAATTCGTGGGTAACATAACATCGTTCTATTTACATTGTGGTTATATTCGTACCTCATAATATTTTAGTTTACAATATTGTATATTTTTAAAATTATATTTCATAAGAGGTTGTGTTAAATGTAACATTTTTTCACGTTTGTCATTTAAATAGAGACTGAGAGTATTTTGTTTAATGAAGTAAACATTTTTTAGTTAATGATTAAGCAAGAGTTAACCGAATTATAAAAATTTTCTATATAGACAGAAAATGTTGTAGATAGTATGATAATGTTTGAAAAAAAATTATGAATAATCTGAAAATGTTCTGAAAAATCTGAAAATGTTCTGAAAAATCTGAAAATGTTCTAAATAGTTTCAACATATTCTAAATAAAGCGAAAACGTTCTAGACAGTACGGAAATACTCTAGAATACTCTAATCTGAAAATATTTTGAATAATATTAAAATCTTCTATGTGTACTCTTAAAATGTTCTAGATTGTTTTAAAATGTTCTGGATAGCCTAAACATTTTCTGGAAAGTCTACAAAT